ATGATTGGGGCCCCTGGCCTGGACTAGGGGGAACGGATGACCGGGGCCCCTGGCCTGGGTGAGGGGGGACAGATGACCGGGGCCCCTGGCCTGGACGAGGGAGGACATATAGCCGCGGCCCCTGGCCTAGGTGAGGGGAGCTGAAGGAAGATGGGCTTCCGTCCGAGGCTCCTGAGGGAGAGCGTGAGGAGAGGCTCGATCCCAGAGAACTGCTTATCCGGATTCTGACTTCCCTGCAGAGGAGAGCTGCGTGCTTGCCGCCAGAGGATAGAGCTCATCGCCAAGCAGCAGGCGAGCGTGGCGGCCGAGGTGGCTGCAGGGAGAGAGGCCAACAACACGTAGGTCGTGCGCCCCGGGCGCCGAGCGGGGCGGGTGGCGGGGGCCCCCAGTGCCGCAGCAGAAGGCGTCCGGTCACCCGACTGGTCATCTGTACTAACACCTGCTGCCTTCAGGTGCACGAGGAAGCAGACTGGCCACCCTCCAGGGTGGGGAACAGACGCACCCCGATACGGAAAGAGACAGGTGGTCACAAGGACAAGAGAGCTGGTGGCCATGAGGTCAGGAGAGGTGGTCACTTTGAGGCAGGTGGCCAGGGAGGCTTCCTGAGGAGTTGCCTCCAGGCCGGAACCTGAGTGAGAAAAACAACTTGCCTGCAGTGACTAGGAAGGAACATTCTGGGGTGAGGATGTGCAAAGCCCTAGAAGTGCCCAAAAAGAGAGGCCACTCTGTGGGGACAGGGCAGGGACACCAATGAGCTTAGGGGAAGAAACATCAGGACTGGCTTTGTCTCGATCGACCAGCCAGGTAGTGCCACTACCCAGATGAGGGAACAGGACAGGCAGGGGGTCAGAGGCCTGCGCGGCTACCTCACGTGGACACATCTGCTTGGAGCTCCCCGCGCCCGGGGCCGGTGTCCACAGGTGAGCCAGGTGGCGTCCATGCACTTCAGGCCCTATCGGTCTCACAGCAGCCCTTTGAGGGACTCAGGGACACTAAGTGAGCTGCCCGGGGTCACCCTGCTGAGCGGGGACACGGTGGGACGTTGGTCCTGGCGCTCTGAGCCAGAATCTGAATGTAGCTGCCCCACTTGCTGCCAGGAAGGGACGAGCGCCAGGCCCCACTGGCCCCAGGAGGGTAGAGGGCCTCCTGGCGGCTGGAGGCTGGAGTCCTGGGGGTCACAGGACAGACAGGACAAGGTGCCAGACAGTTCACCCAGCAGCAGCGTTGTGAGGCCTGCAGCCCAGCCCCCTGCAGGCGGAGACAGGCTCTTTTGTAGGACTTTAAAATCCACCTGGTTCTATGGGACACAGCAGGCTGGATGTTGAGAAATGAGGGCCACACCAGCTGCCGGAAACCCACTCCCCAGCCGTACACGTGTGGGGTCCTGATCGGTGGTATGCACACACCAGTCCTGAGGTCTTTGTCACCCAAGGCTATTTCCACACAGCCCCACTGGCCACCCTGTGATCATCTGTGATTATCTCAGAACATGCCTGAGCGGTCGGGTGCCTGGGAGGTGCACTGAGCCGGCCACAGCCCAGGACAGAAGAGGGTGCAGAGTGGACTCCCTACCTAGAGTCTCCCAGGGGCGTTTTGGCCACCTGACTGCTTCCAGTCGGGCAAGTGTGCAGGATCCTTCCCTGATCGGAATGGGCCCGCAACTCGGACAGGCTGGAACCAGGGGATCCGGCTCCCTGACTCCGGGAGGGAAGTGGGCACTGGTGTGGCCAGGGCAGGTGCTCTAGCGGGTTCTGTGCCTGGCCAAGCAGCCAGAAGTAGGCACAGGGGCAGCTTTTCTTGAAGGCCTTCCCCGCTGGCCGGTGTAGACAGATTTCTCTCTTGAAAATGAAGAGGCCAGCTGAAGGCCTCAGTGGGATAGTGGCCACCGGGGGGCTTTCTCTGGGGGCCAGGCTGACGCCACCTCCCTGCCCCCCCACTCCCCTGCCCCCCTGTCCCTCTGCCCCCCGTGCCTCAGCAGCGCCTCCGTGGGCCGCCTCCAGGCGGTGTCCAGACGCCTGTGCACAGAGCTGGACGACGAGAGAGCCCTGCAGTCCCAGCTCAGAGCCGCGTTGCTGAAGAGCGAGTGAGTTGGGGGGGGGGGGCTCCCTGCGCACAGGCAGGACGTGGCCCGCGTAGTTTGCGCGCGACTTTTAAGCTGCCTAAGAGCGGGAAGGGAGCCCGTTAAATGAAATCATTGAAAGGATAAGACTTCACGTTTTTTGAAATGTTTCCCACTTTCCCCATGTTTGTTTGCATTTCTGAGAACTAGGACACCTGCTTCTTTTCCTTTCCCCTCTTTCCTGCTTCCTGCTTCCGGAGAACCACCAGCACCGTGTTTAAACAGTGTTTCGCCGTTTCACAACCTTTCTAGAAGCAACCCCCAGCAAAGACACTGGTGCTTGGGTTTGGGTCGTAAACAGCAGCATTGCCTCTAGCTAGCTGCCGCAAGAAAGGGGGTTTAGGAGGGGATCAGATTCCTGGTGTCCCTCGTGCCCTGCTTCCCCCCCCCACAGCGGCCCCCTCCCCCAGACGCTGGCCGGGCATCCTCTGGGAAACACGCAGGAAGGCACGGAGGGCCAGGACAGGGCATTGGCGGCAGGCCACCCGCTGCTGGAAAAGCCACAGCTGTCCCCGCCCCTCCCGACCACAGGGACTCTCGGGGAGCGGGGGGGTGGGGACAGGAATCCGTCTCTAACCCAGCCCTCCTTTTAAGTTAGGCACAGTCCAGCCCTGGGTCCTGTGGTGCTTTAGCATAATCTAGTGGGGAGGCGGGAGGACAGAGAGGTGGCCGGGATGGTAGGGCCATCTGTGAGTGAGCACGGGAGGACGATGGACGTTTATGTGGCCCTTGTTTGACGGCGCAAAACACCCCGAGCCCCCTTGGCCCCAGCCGTCCTAGTGACATCCTTTACGGCAAGAGGGTCCCACTTGGGGGTTGCAGGGGGTTATCCCGTCTCCAGCCAGGAAGACCCCTCACCCTTCCATGACACTCATGGCCTCCACACTTTGAAGATTATGGGCCAGTGAAGGCCCCTTAAGTTGTCTTTGCGTGATGCTTCCTTGTGACTGTTGGCTGGAATACCCCCGAGTGATGCCATGTCCTTCTGGGGGGGGCCTCTCAACGAGACGCATGATGGCGACCGGTCCCGTTTCCGGTGGGGGGGACTTTGGTGGCTGGGTCGAGGTGGTGCCCGTCGGGGTTCTCCACGCAACGCGACACCTTTGGAAACGAATCCGTAACGTGTGGTGGACACTCAGAGACTCTGGGATCCTGTCCTCGCCCCCTTGCGGGCGCTGGTGTCTGAATTGAGTGGTGTTTCTTGCCTGCACCAATCATGATGGCGATGGCGATGGCGATGATGGCCCCCAAAGACGCTCTAAGTCCGCACTCCTTCCGCAGCCGCGGGCCGGCCTTCTGGTGTGAAGAACAGCGTGTCTTCTCCACATCCATTTGCTTATCGGCGTAGACTCTGATTTCTGTTTTAGTCAGCGGCATACGGTCACGTCCGTCATTATTTGCCTTGACCCTCCGGTCCTCCCAAGTTGGCTCCTAGGCCCTTTGACACGTCCCTGTCCCTGTCACTCTTGGAGTGCTCTCTGGCACCAGGACACGTTCCACGCCCCCCGATTCATCCTCCCGCCCCAGCTCTGGACTCAGCCTGGTTTGTAACTGAGGAGTGGGGTTTGGAGGTCTAGAGCTGGGTGCCGCTGACGCCCGTGGCCGCAAGGACCTTGCTGCTCCCAGGCCCTTGCGGCAGGCGGGGACAGCAAACCCGTGCACGTCTGTGTGTGTCCCTGTCTTGAAACCAGTTCCAACAGAACTGCAGGCTCGTCCCCACCCTCCCCCGCCGTGTCTGCACCTCCTTCCTGTGGCAGTGACCAGCCTGCCGGTCGCTACCCTCAACGTTTTCACTGGTTTCCCCGGTCCCCACGTGGAGCCAGTCCGCGGACCCTTCCAGCGATCGCCCTGGGACTCTCCTCCTGCGGCCTGACCCCAGCAGCCTGCCCGCCGGCCGCTGCTCACGTGGGCCTGGCTGCTGCCGGACTGTCATTTGCTGCCTTGTTAATCAGCTTTCCCTGAGTCTAAGTTACACACGAGAAAATGTATCCCAGACGTTCCCTTGTGCCTCTCCTCAGTCAGCAGTCCTGCCCCAGGGGACCACTGGGGACCGCTGACACACTCTGTCCCTTCCTATTAAATGTGTTCAGTGTGCCGGGGCACCTGGTGGCTCAGTTGGTGGAGTGACTGACTTAATTTCTGCTCAGGTCATGATCTCATGGTTCGTGAGTCTGAGCCCCGCATCGGGCTCTGCATTGACAGCGTGGAGCCTGCTGGGGATTCTCTCTCTGCCCCTGTCCTGCTTGCGCTCTGTCCCTCTCTCAAAAATAAATAAACATTTTAAAAACATGTTTTAAATGTGCAGAACCATACCTGTTTACCCGGCGCCTGGTTTCTCCAGTCCACACAACGGCTCCCAGTTGCATCTGTGGTCTTGTGTGGAGCGGAAGTCCGGGCGCATCCGAGTTTTTTGTAATTATTTTAGACAGAGAGCAAGCAGGAGAGGGGGGCAGAGGGAGAGAGAGTATCTTTGGCGGGCTCCGTACTCAGCACAGAGCCCGACATGGACCTCGACCCCGCAGCCCTGAGATGACCTGAGCCACCCAGGCGCCCCCACATCCACATTTTTACATAGCAGGAGTCCAGGCGCGTCTGCGGGTTTTTTTTTTTTAATGTTTTTATTTATTTTTGGGAGAGAGAGACAGAGTGTGAGTGGGTGAGGCGCAGAGACAGAGGGAGACACAGAATCCGAAGCGGGCTCCAGGCTTCGAGCTGTCAGCACAGAGCCCGACGTGGGGCTCGAGCTCACGGACTATGAGATCGTGACCTGAGCTGAAGTCGGACGCTTCACCAACTGAGCCACCCACATGCTCCGCGTCTGCGTTTTTATGTAGCGGGAGTCCCAGGTGCATCCAGGGTTTAACACGACAAGCATTATTACCTCCCCATCCCTGGATGGCCGGGAACCTAGGAGCAGCGTAGCTGGGGTTCTGGCTCGAGATCTCCCGGGAAGTTACGGTTGAGATGTCAGTCAAGACGGCATCGTGTGGAGGTTCGCTGGGTTGGACGGAGGATCAGCTTCCAAGCTCGCTCAGTTCAACCCCCCGCAGGCCTCTCCTGGGGCTGCTGACGAGGGACACTGAGCCCCCAGGGGTGAGCAAAAGCCCCAGTGTCCTCTCGGAAGTGACATCGCATCACCTCTGCCGCATTTGGATCAACCCTGAGACCGGGTGGGCACGGCCTGCTCAATGGTGTGCGTGCAGGAGGCGGGGTCATGGGCTGTCATCCTGGGGACTGGCCACCTCATACTGAGTCTCACATAAGCCCTTCCCCCAGCAAAACCGGCTGCTGCGCACGGCGCCTGGGGGCGGGGGGGGGGGGCGGTACACTGAGTGTTCCTCGCGCCTCTGCGCTTCCACTGTAAAATGTCATCGTGTGGACGTCCCGGCAACGCAAGATGAGCTGAGCGACTCTAGCCCCGCAGAGGATCGCAGCAGGTGACAAGAACACGGGTGGAGAAGGAAGCCCTGTGTGCAGAGGAAGTGACCATTCCCAGGAGCACAGATTGCCACGCCCACCTGGGTCCTGAGGGGCGCGTGTACCAGAGTGGGGCACGGCCTGCTGTCTGCTGCGGGCGGACAGGGCGCTCAGCGGATTGAGGCCAGCGCAGCCCTGGAGCGGGCGGGTCCGCGTGGCTGGCCCATCGGCCTCATCGACAGGAGCCTTCTCTCAAGTGGGGTCCTGACGTCCTCATGCACTGGGCCCATCCTGGGAAGTCCCGCCACCAGCCCCTGGGCCACCAGCCACACCACGAGCGCCGCCGCGGGGTCTCCGTGGATCTGTGCCTCCACAAGCGGTGCCCCCGGACGCACATTCTTGGGACTCTGCTCTCAGGGATGATGCGCCTTCAGGCCCTCCTGTGTCGCTGCCGACCACACGCTGGGCAGAAGCCCCCGTCAGAGGAGGTGGAGGGGTGGGCAGGCGAGGCGGGCCCCTCCAGGGGGCTCGTGTGCACTGGGGTGCAGGCGGGACGCCTGAATCTGTGGCTCCGTGGCTCAGGTAGTGCCGCTCACTCATTCAACAAACGGTAGTTGAGAACCTGCTGTAGGCCACACTCCGTGCGAAGCATTTAGGGCTCGCCGGTGAATAGAACAAGTGAAAAGCCGTGTCCGGGGAGCCTCTGTCTTCGTGGTAATGGGAGGCAGACGATCAGCCAAACGTGAAGTTCGGGACGGGTGGCCCGTGTCACGCGGTCCCTGCGTCCCTGGACTCGAGCTTCTGTCTCACCTGGGTCCAGCGGCAAGGCCAAAGGCCACGGGCAGCCTCGCACCGCAGGCTCCGTGCAGGGGCCTGGCCACGCCCGGGGCAGGGTGTCTGCCGCAGGGGCCCGGCTGAGAGCCTTTGCTGGCCTTCCTTCCGGCGCTGTGGCCGGCGGCACACGCGGACCTCGCGTCCCCGAAGGTGATGCCCACACAGATCTCACTGGGCTAAAACCAAGGGGCTGGCAGGACTGCCTTCTTTTCTAGAGAGAGCCTCTTTCCAGCCTTGTCCAGCCCCCAGACGTGCCCTCCTTCCTGGGCCCACGCCCCTGCCCCCTCCTCTAGGCCAGCAGCACCTCTGTGCCTCTGATCTTCCTTCCACCGTCACCTTCTCTTTATTCAGAGAAAGTGGGACGTCAGTCAAATCGCCCTCTTTTTCAGGCCTGGGGGCCAGCAATCCATCAGCCACGGTCAGACGTTCCCGCCGCCTGTCCGCGCCCAGACACCCCCCCGTAGGTCACAAAGGGTGCTCATATGGCAGCAGCCCACTTCCCCTCCGTGTCCTGTGCTGCCCCCCCCCGGCCCTGTCTCTCGCTGCCGTGCCCCCGTGCCACAGGGAGCCTCTTTCAAAGGTGGCATCTCCCACCTGTGTCCCCGGCCTATTTCAGAGTGCCACACCGGTCCTCGGGCCAGCCGGGGACACTCAGGAAGTGCAGATCCATGTTCGAGCCAGGCCGGGGCCCATAGTGCTGTGGGTGAAGGGGGGAGCCTTCCTCTCCCCTGCAGCTGCAGGCCCAGAGGGCTTCCAGGAGGAGGAGCCGCCCTTGACTGGTGGTCGTCAGAACTGCATGGCCAGGCCCTCCCGGACCCCCTGGAACGGACGCTCCTCAGAGGGTGTGGCCTTTGCCGACACAAACAAAAGTGCCTCTTGTTTGAAGGAGCGCCATGTGGCACATCGCGATCCAGAAGGGACAGCTTGAGGATGTCCAAGCGTCTGCCCAAGAGGAGGAAGCAGCTGCCAGGAAGGGCCTCCGGGCGCACGCGGCCGAGCAGCTGCCCCGCGAGGAGGAGGCCCTGAAGAAGGCCGAGAGGACCCGGCTGCTGAGGGTCAGGTGGGTGGCCAGGACCTGCGGGGCCTCAGCCTTCTCCACAGCCAGCTCCTCTGTGGCCCCACCTGAGCCCCTGGCCAGGGCCCGCCCAGGGCCTCCTGTTTGGCCAGGCCGCTGAGTAGGGCAGAACAGCACCTGCAGGTGTGTCACAGGCCCACTCCTGCTCCCCAGGTGCGGTCCCCATTTCCTTCCCTCCCAGTCCTCGTCCAGGGTCCTCCCCACCCCTCCCCCTGCTCGCTCCATCCGGCCCGTCGCCAGCTTTCCCTGCCGCTTCTATGGGAGCCAAGCCCCTGGACACCGGCAGCGCTCTCGCCCTGGGCACAGGTGCCGCCGGCCTGGCTCTCAGGGACACCTGTTCCCTCAAGAGCCGGTGCTCCATGAGTTTCCGTTCCCACTGTCCCCCGCCACCGCAGGAAGGCCATGCATCTGCAGAAGGAGCACGGGCTCAGGCACCAGAAGCTGGTGGAAGACGCCAAGAAGAATCACAAGATCGCGGTGAAGTTCCTGAAGGCTTCCCTGGGAAGGTAGCGTCCTCAGACTCCCCCCACCGATACCCTGGAGGAGAAATATAAGAAATACAAGAATCTTTTTTTTGTTTTACTGTCCCCGATTTTATTATTAAATCATTACCCTACTGTCAGAACGTAATAAAGCTGTATTTTTAGTTTCGAGCTGACTTCCTGCTTGTGTTCAGAAAAGGACCTGCGGTGAGTTGCCAGGGGCCTGTCCAGAGAAGCCTGTTTCAGTGTTCCCTAGAAATTGACATTCAACATAACGCTTTCCATGTGTCTTTAATGTGGTCACGTTTAATTATTTCCTTGACGGACGTGACCACCGTGCAGTTCTGTAACCGCAAGTCAACTCGTGGTTAAAAAACGTGCCTTCTTCTTCCAGAATCCGCGAGCAGGAGAGGGAGAAGGAGATGGGGTCCCAGGAGCACATGAAGAGGCGCATGGACGCCGTGCTGGCTTTGAAGAACAGTATCAGTGCCAACAGGGTAGGCGACCTGTGTCCACCCTTGCCCTCGGGGCACATCGCACTCCAGGAGGGACAGCTTGACACCCTTGGGGCCCCACACAGTCCTACAGGAGCCCTCCAGGCAGGCGTGTTTCCTTCCAGGTGGGGGTCCACACCTCGACCCCTCAGCCTGCCCTGCCCTGTCATCTGGCTTCCCTGCCCCTTGGGACGGGAGTCCCGTGTCCTCAGACTCGCCACTCAGTCGCTTCCTGGGGGTTACAGAGCCTCCCCCCACAGGTCTGTTGCCCCTGGGCCCGTGCTGGCAATAGCCAGCTGCCCCGCCGGGCAGGAAGAAATCAGCGCGGGCCTGTCCTCCTGGGGCCTGGTCCGCGGGAGGAGCCATGGCAGGGCTCCAGGGGGACCAGGGCTCAGCGAGGCCATGTACAGGGGTCCGGGGTCCTGTTGGAGGAAGTGATATCCCCCCGGGGCCCAAGGGTGTGGCAGTTAGGCCTGGAGAGTGGAGAGGGGAACAGCATTTGCAAAGGCTCAGAGGCAAGAGTGAGCAGGCCTCCTGGAGGGGAGCCCAGCATGGCAAGGGGGCAGAGGCGAGGCGCCAGTCCTGCAGCGCTGTGGACGACAGTCAGCTCGGGGGGCAGGAAGCCCCTGAGGATTTTAAGGACAGGTGGTCAGTGGGTGGGCGGGACCAGGCAAGGGTGGGGCTCTGCAAACCTGTGCTCCGGCATCTCAGGGCTGAGTTAACGTCACCGGCTCAACCGAGGAGCTGCCATGTGTGTGTGCGCACTTGTGTGCACACGCGTGAGCATGTGCCAATGGTATACCCTCACTTTTCTCTATTCCCAAGGAAACACTGCGGAAATTTCAAGCATGGGGCCAGGCCAGGGCAGAGCTGGCTGAGCAGAAGGCCCGGGCCCAGAAGGAGATGATTCTGGCCCAAGGTGGGGACGCTTTCAGACACCTTTTCCATCAACGCCAGCGCCAGGAGCTGGAAGCCCAGAACCGGTGAGTGCGAGGTGGCTTCCTGGGGGAGGTGCCCGCCTGGGCCGAGGGAGGCCTGTCCCTCACAATTAGCCAGGCTGCTTTCCTCCCTGGGCTTCTCCCCAGATGGGGCTCCAGCCCTCCCTCCACACCCTGCTCCCCAGACCCCAACAGGTGAGGCCTCCCATGGGCCTCAGAGCACAGACCTTTCGACCCCCATCACCTCTAGTGCGGCCCCTGGCCTGGCTTCCTGGTTTCTCAGGAGCTGCCCCAAGCCCCCGACGCAGCTCACTCTGTGTCTCCGGGCTCTCCGGGCCCCTCCGTAGGGGGCTGTGGGGGGTCTGGGCTCACCCTTCACGCCCTCATGGGCTTCGCTTTCCGATTTCCTCCAAAGGGCACTCGGTGCTGCCTTCTCAGTATGCCCTGCACCCTCGTCATTCACCCTGAGAACCCCCCTCAGCCCTGCAAGGTCCCAGTACACAGCTCTCCAGGCCACACTCTGCCCTGCCTCCTGCCCCCACACCCCCCGCAGGCGTGGGCTTCCTGAGGTCCAGAGGTCCGCGTTCTGGTCCTGCCCACCTCCTGAAGGGCACATCCCTTCTCCCCCCCCCCCCCCCCCCCCCCCCCCCCCCACCCCCTTCACAGGCACGATCGGTGCGTACCCAGGTGTGGCCTCCTGGTCCTCTCCCTGGGGACAGCATCTCCTGCCAGGGAGTCACAGTGCTCTGGCTGTCACCACAGGAGCTGTGCCATCAGTCGTCCCGTTAGGGGCTCCCGGGGGTGGCTCCACCCGTGCCTTCGTCTGGCGCAGGCCGGGCACGTAGGAAGAGCCAGGGACAGAGTTGGAATGAGTGAAGGAATGAATGAGCACGTGAGTGAATGGCCTCGAGCCCTAGTGAGGCCATGGTTTGTGCCTCGCTGGAGTGCCCGGCTGCCAGCCTGGAAACCTGGAGTAAAAGGCACGTCCTGTGGGGTCAGGTTTGCTGTGGGGCCCCGGGCGGGGCAGGAATTTCAAGGCCCGGGTCTCCGGCCTGGCAGCCTTCCTGGGCCTCATCTGTCTGCTCCCTTGGGAGCCAGGGGGCCCGGCCAGAATCAGCTCCCGGCAGCCCTGAGCCCAGCGGGGCGGCACCTCCTGGGGGAGGGGCCCCAAAGGCAGCTCGCGACTCACCTTCCCTGGTTCCACATGGCGTTTTCCCACAGCGCCTTCGAGGAGCAGCAGAGGCTCAGAAAGCAGGAGATCGTAGGTCGGATTCTGAAAGAAGAGGCTGCGGGAGAAACCAGGAGGAAGAGGCAGTCTTCTCCCACCAAAGCCACGGGCCGGCTGACCCTGAGAGATGAGACGTGGGGCTACATCTCGGACGTCTGCGAGGACAGGGGCACGGTGGCCCTTCCCCGCAACCTGCCGGTGAGCCAGAGGCCCCTGTCTGGTCACAAGTCCCCGGGGACGTGGTTGGGCCTCGAGACATTGTGTGACCATCTCCGGCTAAGATCCCTCAGCCGAAACCGTGTGGCCTGCACCAGGCTGTCTTCCGGCCTCCCTGCTCCCCGGGGGCCCCGCGGGGGGGACGCGTTCGAGCTTCCCCACGGCTCCTCTCTGCGGCACGCAAGATGGCGGGCCACACGGCGTCCACCTGGGAGCTGTCCCTTTCCCAGGTGACGGCGCAGGTACAAGGGGCCGAGACCCAGGTCTCTGGTGGCTCATCCGCCACAGGATCCACCTCTGCGGACCCCACTGCAGGTGCGGAAGCCCGTAGCGTCCTCTGCAACAAGGGTGGCTCAGGCCGCCTTACCTGTCCCTAGACAAAAAGACAGGCAGTGACCACAGGCCAGTCCCGGGCCACGGGGCTATCTGTGCACATGCCTGTCACCACCCTGGCACCAAACGCTCTCAACACCCCCCAGAGACCAGCCGCTTCCACGCCCTGTACTCCCTCGCCGCTCATGCGTCATCCTCCTGAGGGCCGGCTCCAGGCCAGCACCCCCACCCCACCCCCGGGGCTGGTGACCCATACCTGTCCCCAGGAGTCAGGGGCAGGGACATCAGGACCCCTCCTGAGCCCAGTTCAGCACTCCCACTTCTGCCCCCTGCACCTCGAAACCCGAGGTTGCGGATCGCCGGCTCCCCTGGGCCTCTGCGGACTCTTCACTCTGTTCCCAGGCGTTTTCGGTCTCTGCCCGGTCCCTGCCCGCCACTGTGGAGTCTGCCCCTCCGGGCCGTCACCCCTGCCACCTCCTCCCTGGCCCGCCCCAGCCGCCTGCCCTGCCGTCCACACTAGGTGTCCTGTGTTTCTCCGTGTCAGCACCCAGTCTGCTTCCCCGGGAGCTTTCCACACATTGCAGCCACATCCCCCTCCGTCTACGGCTGATGCTCCCTAGAGGGAGGCCCCACGCCGTCCCCTCTGAAGCCCAGTCCCAGAACCGGTGTCCTCCGGAGGGAGGGCTTTTCCAGGGCGTGGTTTATATAAGCAAAAATTAGAAATAACACGAAACTGAGGATGGTGAAGAAGATTGTAGTAGGCCCATAAATCCATGTTCTGTGGACTCTTTTGTGGGTATTGGAGAAAAATACGTAATGATGTGTCTGGAGTTACTTATATTTGAAATGGGAAAGGGTTACGAAACAGACCGTGTTCTAGTCTCCGGGTAAAGAGGAAAAGAACCCGTAGAAGAGCCAGGTTGTCCGTGGCCATGTGCCCGAGGGTCTTGTGATGGCGGCTATGTTCTTCTCTCGCTGATCTGTAGGGTCCCTTGTCTTCTGTGATTAGCTCTGAATTTCTCTCCCCAACAGCAGGACAGCGAAGCGGTCTCACCCCCCAGAGCCTCTCAGTTACTGGAAGCCAACTCCTATGAGTCCGTCCAGGGGGACTCGGGGAGCATCACCCGGGAACATGACACGCTGGCCGAGCCGGAGATCCCCGGGCTCTGGAAGGAAGACTATAAGCCAAACCGGGTAAGCGCTTCCCACCCTCAATTCCGAGAAGTTGGATAGCAGCCCCGACGCCGGCTGACCTGGAGTCAAGGCCGCAGACAGAGCCCCTTCCCCACTCCTGTCCCTCAGGGAGGCACCTTTATTTGTGCTGCCTGAGAAAACATGGCTCCGGCTAAACATTTCAAACCTTTCTCTCGGCCTAATTGAAAAATCTAGAAACCCCCCGCCTCTGCCGTCACTTCCCACAAATCCAACGGGATCCTGGACGTGCCTGCTCGTCCCTCTTTCCTTTTCCTCTGAAGTGAGGACCGCCAGCCTCGCTCAGGCCAGGGCTCTCTAAGTGGCCTGCCGGGCGGTCGCGCTCCCCCTGCCCCGGCCGCTCTGGGCCCTGACGCTGTGCCACTAAACTTCTGCGGCCCCCGGCTGCCCTAGGCCACCTGGAGCGGATCGCCTCGCTGGGCCTGGGCTTGCCCTTGAGCGCGACGCTGTTTCTGTGGAAACCCAGGTGCCCAAAGAGGAGGTGGACAGGAAGCCCGTGGGCGGGACAAAGATGGACAAGGACATCCTGGCGCGCACCATGGAGCAGCTGCGCAGCAGGGTGACCCACAGGCAGGTGGCATCCGGGCACGAGTTCAAAGGTCGCCCCTTCAATAGCAAACCCAAGCTCGTCCACTTCAAGGTGAGGAGGGGCTACTCGCCTGGCCTGGTGCTGAGAGTGTTGAGAGGGGTCAGACGCCAGCCCCAGAAGGGGACCTGGCCCCGGGGGACGGCCTCCCTGAAAGGGACAGTGGGAGGTCAGTCCTCGCACGTAGTCACAGCCGCCAGACTCTGCAGGGGAGGAGGCTGGCGGGCTCCTGGGATGCCACACGGGCCCTAGTCCTTCAGACGGAGTGGGGTGCCGGCCCCAGAGCCCACACCGTCCGAGGTCCCCAGGAAGCCATTTCCTGCCCCCGCCGTCCCTACTCTCCATGCGTCCCCAGGGGAGCGCTTCCTGAGTCAGGAAACTTTGGGACTTGTTCCTGGTCTCCTATCAGGACGCTCCTCCGCTCGTCACCGAGACCTTCCTCGTGTGGTCACACGCCGGCCGTCGGGGGGCACACGAGGAGAGGCCGCCAGGCGCTCACACGGCGCCTTCCCCCCGACGGCTTCAAATGACTCCTCTGACTTTTCCAGGACTTCGACGTCGGCAAAGTGTACAAGAAGAAGATCACGCTGATAAACGCCACCTACACCATCAACCACTGCAAGCTGGTGGGCGTGGAGGAGCACCTCAGGGACTTCGTCCACGTCGAGTGAGAGCCGGCGGGGCGCGGGTGCGGGTGCGCTGTCCTCGGCCTTCACGCCCGCCTGGCGCTCGCTCTGGCGGCCGCTCCGTCTTCTTGTGCTGACGCGGCCCGAGGCCAGCCCAGGTGTGCGTGATGACTCTCCTTCCGGGTCAGTGTTTCGGTGCCCACCCCTCTGGGTGAGACGTCCCTGGCGGTTGTTGGGGCTTCTCTGGGTGAAGGTTCGAGCCGTCCTGCTTCAGGACTGTCCCCTCCCACTGTGTGCGTGTCCCCTGTGTAGCCACGTTTCTGTTTTCCTCCTTTGAAGCCCCGCTGGTGCTTGAGAGGCGGCTCCGTCGACCGTTTTCTTCCTGGCCCCTTTAATGCTTGCTCATGTCCCGCTTTAAGTTTTCCTCATTTTTCTCACGTTCTTCTGTGTCTGGCTGTGTCTGCTGTAGTGTCTCTCTTTTCTCCTGCTCCGTAGCATTTTGCCTTTGGTTTTAAGAAGGTTTCTTCTGGTTCTGCCAGCTTTTTATAGACGGGTCTGCAGGCCCGAGATGGCCCAGGATGGCTCCCCACCGCCCGTCCCCACGGCCTCTCCCTGTGATCCGCACTCGCTGACCGTGGGACACACTGTTCTCTTCCGGGGGCTGCTTGTGGCTCAGACGTGGGATCTCTGTTCCCCCTTCTCTCTTTCCGCCAGCTTATCTGCAAAGGCGCGTGTGGGCAGAGCGTGGCCAGAAATTCCCGTGTATCACTAACTGATTCTGTCCTGCATTCGTGCCGGAGGCACAGGATCTACTTGTGGTCTGCTAGTTTTTCATGTTTATCTGCGGGTCTCTGTGGGACTTGGGGCCCAGACTCGCGGTATCAGCCCCCCGGCGTCCTGAAGCACTCCTCCCCAGGACCGGGCTGGGGTCTGATTGGCGGCTGTCTCCCCCCCCACCCCCCACCATGGAGATTATCACCCTCCGTCTGCTGGCTTCTGTGGCTGCTGCTGGGAAGGCCCAGCCCTGGGTCGTTGTCTGGCTTCCCGTGTGGTTGCCTTCAGACTCCCTTGCCCTGAGGTCCGGCAGCGCCTCCGTGGTGTGTCAAGTGCGGGTTGATCTGCTTAGACGGGCTTAGGGCTCACTGAGGATTCAGACCTCCGAAAAAGCCTACACGCTTCTCAGCCCCACCCTGTCCTCCACCCCTGAAGTGTGTGCTGTAGTATTTTCTCGAATCCAGCACCCCACTGGCCCTTCTCTCTTTGTGTCTCCAAGAGCCTCGTATTTCAGTGGCCATACTTCTTGTTTCCGGAAGCCTGCACTCTGCCTCAGGTCAGCAGCCACCGGACACTGTCTTCTTCCTTTGTCACCTCTGTGATTCTCTATTTCCATCTTGGATAATTTTGTTTGTCTTTAACTTTTTTTACGTTTATTTTTGAGAGACAGAGTGTGAGCAGGGGAGGGGCAGAGAGACAGGGAGACAGAATCCGAAGCAGGCTCCAGGCTCTGAGCTGTCAGCACAGAGCCTGACACAGGGGCTCGAACCCACGGACCGTGAGATCATGAACTGAGCCGAAGTCGGACGGTTCACCGACGGAGCCCCCAGGCGCCCCACCATCTCTGATAATTTTAACATGACATCTTTGAAAGTCTCCATGCAACCATTCTCTTATCGGAGGCTCTTGGAGTTTGGCCCTGCCGTCTGCATGTGCGTGGCTGGCTTACACGTGTCCTTTCCAGCCTGGGATCCCCATCTTCTCACCAGGGGGGGCTCCGTCCCCTGGAGTCTCTGTGATATAGTATCCAAAAGCTTCCCTCCCCCCTGGAGAAGTTTTGGATTTCTTCTGCCTGGTATGTGGGGTCATTACCAGGCAAGGGAAAGCAATTACATTAAATTTTTAGCTTGTGTATTTCTAATCCAAGCACCTTAGGTAAAATTCAACCTTGTGAAAACACACCTCACATTAGCAATTCTCTGGAAGCTGCTTTTCCTCACCCAGGATCCAGACCAAGACAGACCGACTGCCTTTGAGTCTCCCTGTGAAGCGGGGGCTCTTTTCCTGGCTCCTTCACTGAAAGTGGGGTTCAGAGGGTGCCAGCTGTGTGCAGGGTCCGTGCTAGCTCCCAGCTGGCTCCCAGCCCTCACGCTAGCGTTAAAACACGAGGCCCTTGGTTCCAGACCTGACACCGCATGTCCCCAGGGAACCGCGGCCACCGCTTGGCCCCTGGCATCCGTTCCCTCTGGGGACGCGCCTCACTCGCCCCTTTACTCACTCTGCACACATTCAGATGTTATTCGAGTGTCTCCTGGGGCCTGGGCACTGGGGCACAGCACCCAGGATGGGCAGGGAGCGCTCCAGAAGGCCCACTCGGTGCCTGCTCGGGGCCGTGGCTGTTGGGAAGTTCCAACAGCGCCTCCCCCGTCGATCTGATGACGAGCCCCATGGATTGTTGTGCCTACAGCTTTGACCCCCCTGGTCCCATGTCAGCCGGGATGTCCTGCGAAGTCCTTGTCACCTTCAAGCCCATGGTGAGTGTTCCAAAAGCAGATGATGCGCAGGGATTTTTCTCACCCGTCGTGAGTGGGTGGTGGGTAGAACGGGGTCTCTGCAGACACAGATGAGGGGGGAAGGACGCGAGGGCCTCAGCAGGGGTCACACACGCCCCTGTGCCGCTTTATCTCCGGGCACATGCGGCACGTACCTGACATTGGTCGCAATTAGGGGCCTGCGCTGAGGGTTCGTAGCCAGCAGGCGGGTCTGTAGGTGCTGTTGGGTCTAAGTGGGGTGTGTTAGAGTGTTCGGACGGGCCCAGGCCCAGCCCGTGGTTGTAGAGACACAGCCCGTGTCCCTGGGCAAAGTTACAAATGTTATGGTGCTTGGGTGTTTTATTTTTTAGATAAACAAGGATCTGGAAGGAAGCGTCTCATTTCTGGCTCAGACGGGTGGATTTTCTGTTCCACTGAAGTGTTCCACGAAGAAGTGTATGGTAGGTTCAGGGACGCCTGAGCTGGGTGGGGCTGCACCGTACATCCTGGGTCTGGGCCCAGGTCCGAACAGCTCAGGTCAGGCTGGGGCCGACCCGGGGGTGGATCGGAGCACGCAGGCCGTTCTGGGGAGGTAAACGCTCACATTGACGCTGGAAAGTGGGGTGCCGGGGCGGGGGGTGGGGTAAATCCCGTGCTGTGCAGAGCCCAGGTCACAGGAGACCCTCGGGCCCATCTCAGGAGATGCTGGTCCCCTCAGCAGCTCTGGGGTGTCCCCTCGATTTCCCTTTCAAAGCGTGGTCACCAGGCTGTGCGTTACGCCCCCAGAACCGATAACTCAAGTTTGTACCCTTTGACCCCCTTTCCCCATTTCAACCGCCCCCCTGCTTCCTCAACCACCACTCTGCTCTCTGTGTCTATGGGCTTGACTCCACACCTGTGTGAAGCTACACAGAATTTGTCTTTCTCTGTCTGGTTTATCTCACCTAGCCCAGTGCCCTCAAGGTCCATCGGTGCTATTACAAATGGCAAGATTTCCTTTTTTTTTAATTCCACTGTGTATATGCCCCACCTTCTTCCATTCGTCCATTGACAGACACTTAGGCTGTCCTCACTGGCTGGTTATTGTAAATAATGTTGCTGTGAATATGAAGGTGCAGACAGTGGGGGTCCCCTTAGTGGTTTCATGTCCTTTGGATGTATTGTCAGAGGTGTGATGGCTGGGTCTAGGGTAGCTCTGTTTTAACTTTGGAGGAGCCTCCACACTGCTCCCGAGGGGCCGCACCAGCGTGCACTCCCCACAACGGTGCACGGTCCCCCCGTCTCCGCATCCTCGCCGACACCTGTTGTTTCCCGTGTTGTTGATTGAAGCCAGCCTGACAGGTGTGAGGTGGTCGCGCCTTGTGGCTGCGAGTGGTATTTCCCTGATGATCCATGATGTTGAGCATCTTTCCATGTACCTGTTAGCCATCTGGATGTCTTCTTTGGAGAAATGTCTATTCAGATCCTCTGCCCAGTTTTTTTTTTTAATTTTTTTAAATGTTTATATTTGAGAGAGACAGAGCATGAGCAGGGGAGGGGCAGAGAGAGAGGGAGACACAGAATCTGAAGCAGGCTCCAGGCTCTGAGCTGTCAGCACAGAACCCGATGTGGGGCTTGAACTCATGAACCACGAGATCGTGACCTGAGCCAGAGTCGGATGCTTAGCCGACTGAGCCACCCAGGCACCCCTTTAATTTTTTTTCTCTTGAGAGAGAGAGAGAGACAGAGCATGAGCCGGGGAGAGGCAGAGCAAGAGAAGGACACAGAATCTGAAGCAGGTCCCAAGTTCTGAGCTGTCAGCGCACAGCCCGACGTGGGGCTCAAACTCACAAGCTGTGAAATCATGACCTGAGCTGAGGTCGGACACTCATCAACCAACTGAGCCAGGTGCCCTCTCTGCCCAGTTTTAATCAAATTGCTTGGTGTTTTGCTATTGAGTTGTGTGAGTTCTTTATACATTTTGAATTGCAAATATTTTCTCCTGTGCCAGAAGTTGCCTTTTCGCCCTATTTGCCTTTGCCGTGCAGAACTGGTTCTTTTTAAAACTTTATAATTAATTTTTAATCTTTACTATTGGAGTGGAGTTGACACGCAGTGTCACATTCGTGTCAGGCATGCGACAAGGGATTCCGCACCTCCGTCACCTGGTGCTCACTATGGTAAGTGTAGTCACCACCCATTCTTCTTTTGATTAAGAAAATTTCAAACATAAGGAAAAGCAGGAAGCACAGCACAGTGAACGCCCGTGTGCCGCCTGGATCCCATCTGTTGGCATTCACCACATTTGCCTCGTCTGTCTGTCTGTCTTGCTGACCCACTTCCAAGTAGACCAGCAATAGCGTAACACTCAACACCGCACCCTCGCAAAACTTCCACATGCATCTCGAAGAAGGAGGTTCTGTCACAGAAACCGCCACGTCATCACCTCTCCCGAGCGAGCAAGTCTGCGCCGAGTGCGGTGATGCTGCGGAACAAAACCTCCTACGTCTAGCAGCTTATCGCAGCCACAAGCGTTCCGGCTCACGGTCACAGACACGCCGGCGACTGTGGTTTGGCCGACCCAGGCCGGGCTCGGCTGGGCGGCTGGCTCCAGGCTGTAGGTGACGGGGCCTCCTGGCGGGAGCCTCTTGCGGACGACAGTCGTCGCCCAGGCAATGAAGGCCAGCCACAGGAGCACATTTGACACCACTCTTGTCCCCTGTCGTAACGATGCTGACTAAAGCAAGTCGCGTGGCAGCGCCCTGCGTCAGTGGAGCAGAGAAGCCCCCCCCCCCCCCCCCCGTCCCGGCAGCACGGGAGGGCGGGCCGAAGGAGGGAATGGATGAGGGGCGACCGCGGTCTGGAATTCTCGCCCGGAACGTGAGCACTCCTAACCAGCGCCCGTTCCCGGTCCACGTTCACGCGCACCAGCCGCCCCGAGCCGCCTCCTGTGTCTTCTGCTCTGTCAGCCGGGCTCCGGCGTGTGACTGCTGTGTTGTTGGAAGCCATTCCCTTTTCTCTCTTCCATCTTTCGTTGTGGCAAAACACACGCGGCACGGAGTGCACCGTCTTGGCCGTGCGAGGGTCCGCGCTTCAGTAGATGAAGTACATTCACAACAGGCAGGCGCCGCCCCCATCTTTCCGGAACTCTCCCTCCTTCCGGAACCCAAGCTCTGTCCTGTGCCGCCCTCTCCGCCCCCGGGCGCCTCCTCCCCACCCTGGTCTCCAGGGATTTGAAAGCTCCAAGTGCCTTACATAAGTGGAATCACGTGGTACTTGTCCTTTGTGACGGGCTTCTGTGGCTTAGCACGTGTCCTCAGGAGCCATCCGCGCGGCAGCATCGGCCAGCTTGCTTCCGTCATGTTGCCCCGTGTTTTCACGCGTCCCTCATTTCCTGTGTGGCTGTCTTCTTTTGTGTTCAGTTGATTTTTTTATAGCGAAATGTTTAAGTTCCTTTCTCATTTCCTTTTGTGTTTGTGCTGTAGCTATTTTCTTTGTGGTTACCAAGGGATTACGTTCAACATCCTGAAGTTAAAGCATTCTGATTTGGATTTATAGCAGCTTAAATTCGGAAGCCTGTGAGACGTCCGCTCCTTTACAGCTCGGTCCCCACTCCCTTCAGCTGTTAATGTCACAGAATTGCATCTTTGTGACCGTGTGTCCAAGACCACAAACTAATAACGTCTCAAATGCATTAGTCTCTTAAAACAAAACGTGGAGTTACAAACCAAAGCGATGATAACATTAGCTTTTAGACTAATACCTGCTTTAAAAAAGAAAGTATTAGACTGTGAAATCATGTAGAAAACACACAGCGTGGTTACAGACCATCGTTACAAGAGCTCTAGCTTCTTTTTTTTTTTAATTTTTTTTTTTTAACGTCTATTTATTTTTGAGACAGAGAGAGACAGAGCATGAACGGGGGAGGGGCAGAGAGAGAGGGAGACACAGAATCGGAAACAGGCTCCAGGCTCTGAGCCATCAGCCCAGAGCCCGACGCGGGGCTCAAACTCACGGACCACGAGATCGTGACCTGGCTGAAGTCGGACGCTCAACCGACTGCACCACCCAGGCGCCCCAAGAGCTCTAGCTTCTATACTGCCTGTGTGCTCGCTTTGATGGGGCTGTATTTCCCCTTAATGCTTCGAGCGACTGGCTCGTGTGCAGGAGCGTCTCCTGCAGGGCTGAGTGCCCACGGGGCTGTTCATCTGGGAATGTCGTGGTTTCTCCCTCACTTTTGAAGGACAGTTTTGCTGGAGAAGGGTTTTTGGTTGATGCTGTTTCCTTTTGGCCCTCTGTATACACCGACCCACTGCCCTCTGGCCTCCGAAGCCCCTGAAATCTCTCCGAGGCCTCGTGTGCTGGGTCACATCTCCCCTGCAGCCCTCGGGAGTCTCTCTGTCTCGCAGCAGTTTGATTATGACGCGTCTCGGTGTGGGTCTCTTCGGGTCCATCTTACTTGGAGTTTATAGAGCTTCTTTGATATTCATATCCCCTTGGGAATTTTGGGCCAGATTCCTCCTTTTCTGCTCCTGGGCCCCCTGTGATGGGACACTGGTCCACCCGCGGTCCCGTAGGCCCTGCTCGCTTTCCTTCAGACTCGACACCCCCGTTGTCCTGTCTTCAAGTCCCTGAGTCTTTCTTCCCACCTGCGCTGGTGCTGCCGCCAAGACTATTCTCCTGGTGACAGATCTCCCGGTGATGGACCTCCAGGTGACAGAGTTCTGGGTGACGGGTCTCCTGGTGACGGCTCTCCCAGCGACACGGCGGCAGATCACTGTGCCTTGTACCCGGGCACGACAGGGATTGCCACCTCCCTACAGAGCAAGGCTGCCCCCTGCAGCCCCTTCCTCCGTGGGGGGGACAGGTCTTCAGTGACAGCTGTGCTTCCTCCGCCCAGGGCTCCGGAGGGAAGGCCGCTGATGTTGTTTTCTGCATGAAGCTGTTGCTTCTCATGTTCTCCCTCCTTCACTAGTGCTCCGTGTAAGGAGGGGTTGGAACAATTATCATTCCCCACGGCTGGTTAGCTTCTCTTTTTCCTGTTTTCTTGTGGATTTGTGGGTGTTGCGTGCTCTGCATGTTCCGATCGTATGGTCTCCGTTCTCAGCACTCAGGTCGCTCCGCCGTGGCCATGGCAGCCCTGGGCCCTGCCTGGGTTCACACACGCCCGAGTACCGTGGCCTGGATGGTGGCAGCCCTGCCGGGGGCTGCCGAGCCTCGCTGAGGCCGTGGAGAGCCGACGTCCGCTGTGGCCTCCCGCACCCCTTGCCGCGTGTACACCCCCTTCTCGCAGTGGCCCAGGCAGCAGGGCTCGCTGGGGACAGGCCCCCAGAAGGAGCACGTGCGTGCCGGAGTCAGGATTCACACATAGGACCCAGCGTGGTGCTCCCTGCGTGGTGTGGCCTCGGGCTCCTTTCTGGGCAGGCCCTTAGGGTACTCACCTGCTGGCCCGGCCCTTCGCCAAGTGCACACGAGGCCAGCGCCCTCCAGTCACACACCCAGCTCGGGTCGGAGTGCCTCTGGCCTCCACCGAACCATCAGGTGGAGCTGCCGCGACAAAGGCGCCCTAAGCAAGGACTCATCTCTGCCTCCGATGCGAGGGTCTGGGCTGCGCCGCCCTGCCACCCTCCACAAATGGCTTCCAAGGCACCATCCCTCCTGTCAGGTCCCCTGCACCAACCGGAAGTGACCGTCGCATGGTGAGCCCTGGCTGCAAGGTAGGCTGGGCAGTAGAGTCTTCCCAGGGCGGCTCTGTGTCCCGCTGACGTTCAGGGCTCCATCGTGCACAGGAAAAAGGGAGAATGCCCCGCAGTATCGCCCCCTAGCCACGCAGTCGCGTGTCATCACCTGTCACCCCCATGCTCAGAACACACCGGCCTCTGCCCAGGCCCTGCCTGCAGCTGTGGGAGCGGCCACCCTCCCATCCTGCGTAGATGTGGCTCCTGGAAGTCTGGTGACCTGTAACCAGGAGACGGGTCACCTGCCACCTACTCCATACACACGCACGCGCGCTCACACATCCACATGCAGACGCACACCCATGCACACACGTGCACACCCACGTATGCGCACAGGCTGCTCCGTGTCTGGTCTGTGGGAAGCTCTCGTCTGTCTGCCGCCTCTGGTCCCGCGAGGGCAGAGAGGAGAGTGGGGCCCCTGGGTCTCCAAAACTGGCAGCCAGAAAAGCTACCCGGGGTGGCAGGCTGCACACGACCTTCTTAGCCAGCGCCCAGATGGCCAAGATGCCCATGCCCACGAGGGTGGGGGGAGGTGTGCCCTGGGGGATGTGCCTGCACCACATTGATCTCACAGGGACGGCAGGCTCGTCCCCAGACCCTCTGAGCCTTACTGTGTCCACTCAGCCCCACAGCGAGGGGTGTGGTAGCTCGGCTCGTTTTGAAGTGACTTTATTTTCTAGAATGGTTTTGGCATTAACACAAAACTTGTGATTCTGGCTGACTCCCCACCCAGGTTGCCCCAGAAACATCTTATGTTAGTGTAGCGTGTTTATTAAATTATTAACCAGTGTTGACGCATTATGATGATTATTAGCTGGAGAAGACAGCATATTCAAATTCCCTTAGATTTTACCTCACGTCCAATTTCTGTGCTGGCGTCACACCCCAGGAACGTGGCACGTTCCTTATGCTGCTGTTTTGCCGTAGGGTCTTTCCGGCTGTGACAGTTTCTGGGACTTTCTCTTTGTTGATGACCTGACGGTTTGGGAGGGTGCCAGGCAGTTGCCGTGTAGAATGTCCCCCGCTGGGATTTGTCCAGAGTTTATCTCGTGAGTAGACTGGGGTGGCGGGTTTCTGGAAGGCTGCCACGGTGGTTCTGGCCGAATCCCATCACAGGCGCGCACTGCCACCCAGCCTCGCGCTGTGACGTGGCCTTCACCGCCTGACTTCTCACTGTGACGCTTCTCTGCCGTCCTCCCGCCAAACCGCGCTCCGTGGGAGGCCCGGGGCCGGGAGGACTGGACGTCCTGGTGAACCGCTTGGAACTCTTCTGTGAGGGACACTGATCTCTTCGTCGTTCATTAATCCATAAAATCGTTGATTTATTTCGCTCTCTGGACCAGAACCAAATACAACTTTCTGTCGCTGCTCACACTTTTCCCGTCCGCACCGTGGGAGCAGTTTCAGCTCCCTGTCCCTCAGGCGCACGGTTACACTGTGCTCGGAGCATTTCCCGTTGAGGACTTCCGTTCTTGCCAGACAACGCCCAGGGCTCACGTGCCCATCTCCTGTGCCGGCCCTGGAGCGAGACCTCCAGCAGCCCAGTTCCTCGTTCCAGACAGGGCGTGAGAAAGTTGTGCGTGCACAGGTGTGCCCGCTGCTGGCACGTCGGCCCTTCCACCTGCACCGACCGGACCAGCCTCTGCCCTTGCCTACCTGTGAGCTCCCGTCCAATAGCGGGGGCGGGGCTCCTGCACCTGCTGCCCGCACCCTGGTCGCCTTCAGCCCACAGACCCCACTCTCCCCCGGAGCTGCTCAGCTCACACCTTTCCCGACTCTCTGTCATCAGGCGCTTCATCAAACTGACCGAGCCAGATCGTGCCCCTGCGCCCACACACAGTTGTCCCCACCGTCGCCCTCCCCTCCGAGGGGCCGTCTGTGGCCGCAGACAAAGGACAGGGACATGGCATGGTCTCCCAGGGTGCCCGGTCTACAAAGGGTCGCTCGCTGCTGTGCTCTGTGGTTTGGGCAAAGCTGTAATGACACGCGGTCACCACTGGGTCACACGGAGTACTTTGACCGCCCCCCCAGATCCTCTGTGCTCCGCCTGTTCATCCCTCCCTCCCCACAAACCGCTGGCATCCACTGCTCTCCCTACTGTGTCCTGAATTTTGCCTTTTCCAGAATGCCACACAGTTGGAATCATGCCGTATGCCCTTTTCAGGTTCTTAGTAATGTGCATTTGAGGTTCCTCCGTCTTTCCAGGGCTTCATAGCTCGTTGCTTCTTAGCTGACTTGACTGTTCAAAATTTGGACTCAGGAGCTCCCAAATTGTCACGCTTCAAACCTATGATTTCTAGGACGCGGACCCTGTTCCTGGGGTGTGTAGAGGCCCCACCTGGAGCCAGATGCTGACCCCGACCCTGAGCCCGAGTCCCCAAGGCTGCAGGGCCACAGGCGGGAGGGGAGAGCTGGCCGCAGACTCGGCGGCCGCCCTGGCTCATCCCTGGCTCTCTTGGCAGCTGTCTCTTGACAAGGAGCTCATCGACTTTGGCAGCTACGTGGTGGGTGAGACCGCCTCCCGGATCGTCACGCTGACCAACATCGGAGGTCTGGGCACCGAGTTCAAGTTTCTTCGGGCATCGGAGTCCTGTGAGATGGACATCTCCCAGTCAGTCGCGAAAACAGTGAGTGTGTGGCCCGCTTCCGATCAATAGCCGTGGCTACTCAGCCAGGGGCACGGTGTGATGCCGCCCCCGCCCACGACACAGTCCCGGCAGCGTAGAGCTGGTGGTGAGGGGGAGGAGTCTGTCAGCGCAGGGTTGGAGGAGAAGGGGGAA